AGATGTTCAGGGTGAGGGGAGCGGAGGGAGCGAGGAGGGGGGAAATGGTCAGGGTGAGGGGAGGGATGGGAGGGAGCGAGAAGGGGGAAGAGAGTCGAGAGGGGAGCTGAAGGCTCGGTCAAAGAGAAAGGTTTTGAGACCGGCCTTGAAGGAGGAGAGGAGGAAGCGGCGAAGGCACTGGGGGATAGAGTTCCAGAGCCGGGGCTGAGAGGCTGAAGGCCCGAGCACCGATGGTAGGGCGATTGGGGCGGGGGACGTGGAGCGGAACGGAGGGTACGGGCAGGTAGGTAGGGGGATAGTAGGTTGGAGAGGTAGGAGGGAGCAAGGCCGTGAATGGTGTGTTTAGTGGTTGGGTCACACTGGAGATGCCGGAAATGGCGGAGAATTATTTTTTGGATGAACCTTTTACTTTGGTTTCAATACTGGCTTCAACAATTTCAAACCAAACAGCTCACCTTCCCCCTCACCCTGTTCTGTGACCCCTACCACATCATCTTGGTCCCAGACACACCTCTTCTCTCCCTGATCTGCCTGTTTTGTTGCAAGTTCTTTTCCCCCCTTTTGTTCTGCAGTATTCCCCTGCTTTGTTGCAATCACTTTGTTCTGCATCATTAACACCTCTTTAACCCATCATCCCCTGTCCTCTACCCCATTTTCTTTTTGTTTTCCTTGCCCTGCCTCCCCCCTCTCTGTTAGCCTTTAAAAGTCTCTCCCTCCCAACATGCCCCAGTTCAGACAAAGGGCCGTGGACCCAAAACGTTGACTCACTTTCCTTTCTCCATAGATGCTGCCTGACCTGCTGAGTGTTCCCAGCGACTTCTGTTTTTGTTTTCTAATGAATCAAATGTTGGAACTACATAAATAGAGTAAATCTAGACTGAAGACTTATTTCAATTTGAATAATTTTAATGACTATAATACGAATGAGGGGAAGTTTCTCCTCTGTGTATATTTGAGTTTACTATAACTTGTATCTAACATTTTTCCACTGTACACATTTACGCTGTACACATTATCTCAGTGTAACTATAGGCATTTGGATACTCTTTGCCAGATACTAGTGATAACCTAAAATGTTTCAAAACAGATAATGAATTGTAAAAAGGAGTCTTCGCTTTAACGTTTCACTTTCAGTTTTATCCATGACGACAGTACAAGATCTCACTGTTGAAAGTAGTCAAACGCAAGGATACAGTAAATCACCAATAAAGCACTGATGTAAATCATTACACAGTCTAATTATAACACATCTCATAGTAAAATATCAGACAAGAGCAAGGTTCCATAACACAAGCAAACCATAAAATGTCTAAGAGTGAATGAGTGAGGCAAACCCTCATTGTACCTACATTTGGCAAATCTGTGATGTAATAAATAATGATCTTTGCAGTTTATATAGCATCGTTTCAGACCATCGAAACACCTTAAAGCACTTATTGCATTAATTATAGAGTGTGCGTTTTTCAGTGAAAGCACAGCAGCTAATTTGCACTCAGGAATTTTTCACAAACACCCATGAAGTGAATGACAAATTTTATTTGGAGGTTTATATACTTGGAGGTGATTAATACTAGTCATGCAAATAAATCTAAGTGGTTTTGATAGGAAACTGAATGGGACTCGGGGGAAGGTACGACTTGGGTAATTATACGATTTATAAAGATAAGACATATGCGAGTTTTACTTATGATAATAATCCTCGGTTGATATAATGCCTTATCACGTTGTCGAGATGTCTCTAAGCACTTCAAGTTTTTTTTACTGTGAAGGGTAGTTACTAAGTATTTGGAAGCAAACAAACAAAATACTCACACAACTTTTACATCAGAGAGTAACATTCTACGTGTGCCTGTTTATTGTTTGTTGATTTCCAGATACATCGTTTTTTAATCATTTCATTGATTTAGGTCTTGGCTAACTTGTGGAGGAGTTTCTACCATTGTCCTAGCTTGTATTCTTTTCTTATCCAAATTTACTCCAAAAATTCACATGGATAAACTGCTCATCTCATTGCTGTTTGTAAGACCATGCTAACACTAATTCACCACAGGGTTTACCTGCATAACATTCACTTCGTTTCTATTTCATCTCAGAATGTAAAGTACTTCAAGATGTTTCTTTTACTTTTTACTAGCAACAAATTGCACAGGCAATGATCAGCATAAACTGTAAACTGAGAGTTATGCATGTCCACACTCCATTCATTCTAGTTTCCCTTTTACCTTTCAAATACTAAATGCCTCTTCCTAGTTATAATAATAATGTTTATTATTATTATTATTCAAATGTAAATTGTTATTGTTACTATTCAGCACACCAGATTTGCAGGTTATAGAACAATACTCCATTCACTACATTGTATGTTTGTACATTGTGACTGTTTATACTTCAGATAACCAGAGAGCATAGATTAAAGGTAATTATCAAATGAACAAAAGGAGAGTTTAGGAGAACGATTTTTACACAGAGGGTTCTTAGAACTCGGAATTTGAGGAATACCTGAAACACTCCTTGAGGCAAAATCTATGTCAGCTGTAAATAAAGAATTATATAAATAACAACAATAATTTCATTTATATGGCCCCCTTCATACAGAGTAGTATGAAAAGTAGAAATGTTAAAGTGTATGGGGAAAAGGCATCAGAATTGAACAAGATGGATAGCTCTTTCAGACACAATGGGCTGCATGGCCTCCTTCTATGTTGTACATTTCTACAGTTCCAGGTTCTTGATTACCAGGTTAAAACCCTTCACTTGAACTACTGTGTATCAGTGCAAAAGTTCATTAAGTTGATCAAATATTGGTTTGAGTTGCTTGACAACTTTTTATGAGCTTACACTCGACAACTTTAAAGCATTCTACATGAGCAAACCTTAAAGAAGGAATGTGATAGCAGACTGAAGGTTAGGTGAACACTTCCCTGGTAATATTATACTTTAAGAGTGAATGTTGGTTTGTGTCGAGAAAGTAATTAGTAAGTGACATGTGCTGTCAGATCCTTCAAACCAAGTGCAAACACTAAATATTTTCCTTGCTATATTTTTATCATATTTAATACAACTTGTAAACCAGTATGCCTGTATCATTAGACTAATTTACAGATGAGAACAAATACAATATTTATAATAAAATAATTATTTCATTTGATCTAGCACCCATAATGCTGAGAATGTCTTAAAGAACTTCACAAAGTTTCTATTAGGTGTAGTGACTGTGTATTTGCAAGTGAATACAACAGCCTTTTTGCACACAGCTACATCCCACAAACAGCAATGAAGTAAATGATAATTTGATCTGGGTGATTGTTGGCCAGAACGTAGGGAGAAACTCTTTTCTCGTTTCGAATCGTGCCATTGGGATCTTTAATGTCCACATGAACAGGCAGATGGAAACTTGATTTAACATTGCATATGAAGGACAGCACCTCTGACAATTCAGCGCTCTCCCAGCACGGCGCAGGAGTGTCTATGAGCTTACAGTCTCAACAAAACAACTGGCATGTAAATATGGCCTAGTATGCCTTAAACTGCAGTGAATATTTAGTCTGTGAACACCCTATTTTTTATATTTGAGTCCTAGAAATGTCAGTGCAGAAAGACGTCATTCATCTACTCTAACCCATTTCCCTGTTCTTTCCCTGTACTCTTGTATTAGGCAGAGGTCCATATCTAATTCTTCTTGTCAGGACATAAATGTACATTGTGAAATGGAAACAAACGTGCAGTGACAAAAGCCACTCAAACGTTACAAAGGTTTATTGCTGTAATCTAATCACTAAACTATTTGTGCTTTGAGCTGGAGTTTTGAGGTGCCCTCCTAATGTGAAAGGTGCTATATAAGTGTAAAGTTATGTATCAGCCTGGCTCAGTTGGTAGTACTCTCGCCTCTGAGTTAGAAGTCCACTTCGGGACTTGGAACCAATATAATCTAAGATGGCTCTCCAATGCAGCACAATGTGCTATATTGTTAGTGGTGCCATCCTTCAGATGAGACTTTAAACTGAGGTCTGTAAGCCTGACGAGGTAGCTGTTAAAGGTCCTATGGCATTTTGTGGGGCATTGCTGTGTACAAATTGGCTTCTCCTCTCACCTAAAAAATACACAGTCGCGACACCTTACACTACACAGCAAGAAATTACATTTGTATAGTGCCTTTCATGTTGAGAGGACGTCCCAAGGTGCTGAACAGTCATGGACTTGGACCCGAGCTGGGCGTTGGAATCAGGAGGGGTGAGGAAGTAACTAACGCTAAATCCTGTGAAGCACTTTGAGACATTCTGACGTGAAAGGTTCCGTATCAAATGCAAGGATTATTTATATTATTATAACTACGTATTCTCCACAGGGAGGGAGGAAGATTGGAGGTGAGTCCTAGGAACATAGGAACAGGAGTAGGCCATTCAGCCCCTCGAGCCTATTCCGCCATTCTTTTAGATCATGGCTGATCTGTACTTCAGCTCTCATAACCCGCCCTTGACCCACATCCCTTGATACCCTGTCCTAACAAAAATCTATCCACCTCAGCCTTGAATTTGAATAGATCAGGCATCCACAGCCACATTCACCACAACCTCCTTGTGGTTTGTTGCAGAGTTGCATCAACAGACATCCTGTGCTCATCCACTGCTTGTGCATTGTACAAGGAGGGCCAACAAGGGCAAAGGGTGGAGGGTGGGGGAGGGAATCAAAATAAGGTAAAGAAAGGATCTAGGACAAATTACAGAGCTTTAGAAGTTTGTGGATTTTGGCCCAATTCCCACTCCGCCTGCTTTCACAATAGAGCCAGCAGAAATCTAGCATTCATTGTTAAAACAATAAGCATGTCGCACGGATATCTATGTAAAACATTGATGGGGACCAGGTTGATCAACAAGAAACTAAATAAGCAGAACCACAGTCCATATGAATGACATTCTTGTTTGCATAAGCGCCACTGTAGGGTTGTGAATTAGTGCAGCAATGTAGCGAAAGCTCAGCTGTACAACTGGCTGACAGCCAAGGAGGCAGATACAGTGCCTTTTCAGTAGTTTCCAGCTCTGCCAGAGCTGAGCTGGAGTTGGGGAGAGTCGTCGGCAGACTGTAGAATATGCAGTACTGTATGTATTAGACTCCAGCTCTTTCAGTACAGAAGTATTCCATCGTTAACCAGCTCTGAAAGAACAGCAAAACAGAGGATATACTTTTAAACAGTTGGTGAGTACCACTGGTTTCCCTGTTGTGCAGTGTTGTAAAACTAAAGTGCTACTTTTAGAACTATTGAGAAGTTCTCCCTCAGCAGTAATGGAGAAGTTTTTTTGCAGACTGTCGTTCACTATCCAGGGAGTCTGTGCCTGTCAGCTCATGCAGTGGCAGAAGGGAACTTTTGCTTTAGCTCTGTGCTCACAAACAGTGATTATTTCTGAGGGACAAGCCAGTCCGAGAGCAGTGGTTCTTTTGAATGAATGTCTTTCTGTTTGTTTGGAGTCATTTTGACAGCGAGCTATAAATCACTTATTGTTTGGTAGACTGCAGCCTCACTTACTAGGGTGCTATCAGTGTATTCGGGACCTGTTATAATCAGCTGTGAGACTTGAGTGTGGTTCGACTAGCAGAGGTCAAAACAACTCCAAACCCAGCAGCAGGATTCACTAAGCTGAACTCAGTCAGTACTTAAACACCGGTCGTACCAGAGGCAACAAAACTGGAAATCTGTAACCTTTGAGGAGTGTCTGAAATAAGAGACTTTCAATTGTAAAGCATTTTAACTAGCTTACAGGACAAGAAGGCTCGAAACCGTTTCATTCTCTTAATCATACTGACTTCTAGAAATACATCAATTAAATAATCTGGTTTCTGGCTCGAATCGTATTTGATTCCACACTGAGACTGCTGATTGACCTCTACGTTTAATGTACTGTTGTAATCGTAACACAATGTAGGCTTCATTTAAATCGTTTCAAGTCATCAGACTTATCAGCCAACACACAGTGTCTTAAGCAAGTGCAGTATTAGAACCAATTTAACTCTTTAATAACTTATGTCAGCCTGGCTCAGTTGGTAACACTTTCACCTCTGAGTCAGACTGTTGTCAGTTTAAGCCTCGCACTGGGACTTTGAGCTCCTAGTCTAGGGTGACCCTCCAAAGTAGTCCTGGGGGAGCTCAACAATGTCAGCACTGCTGTCTTTTGGATTGGATATTAAACCAGAGCCCCGTCTGCCTGTTCAAATTGGTTCTATAGCACAATTCGAAAGAGATGGGAGTTTTTTCCCAGTGACCTGGCAAATAATTCCCCAAATAAAATTGATCATTCACTTCATGGCTATTTATGGGATATTGCTGTGCGCAAATTGGCTGCTGGATTGGTCTACAAAATAGTCACTACAGTTTGCAATAAATTGTGTGAGGTGCTTGAGACGTGATAAAACAAAACAAAAAATAATTTTGTCACTCGATCCATGACTGTTTGTGGGACACTGCTATGCGCAATTGGCTGCCGCGGTTCGCCCACAAATATACAGTCAATTCCCTTTACAGTGTATTCTGTGAAGCGCTTTGAAACATCTCGAAGACGTGAAAAAGCACTATATCAAATGCAAGGATTATTATAGATAAAATGCAAGGATTATAAAAATGCTGGAGGAGCAGAATGGAATTTATTGAATTATAATATATATAATTAATATATTGCTATAGATTCATTTATTAGCTTTCCTTCAAACACTTCTATCTTTCTCCCCCGCCCGCACCAACATAGTGACAGCCGGTTAAGAGACATCTTAATAACTTAGTTAATAAGGTTGGAGACAGGGACACACCCAGGACCTTTGATGCACCCATTGCAGTGGTGAAGTTCTGGAGTTGGGGAAGGTGTGGAGTGGAACTCAGGCTGGGTCTGAGCAGAATGGGAGAGGTGGCGAGGCTGAAGGGAAAGAGCTGAATGTACCTGGTTGCTGATCTGGTGTGTGATTCCAGTTGCTGCTGACGGGATTGTTGCACTGCCATGTGCAGACTGACACACATGCATAGTCTGATATTCTTCTGAGGCTCCACTCAATGTGTAAAAGGAAGCTTACTCTAGAAGCAGCCTGCAGAAGACAGAGCAGAGCTCACCGTATGAGGTTAGGAAGCGCCGAGTGTCTTTCTCCGGCACGTGCAAGACTTTGCAGGGTTTGCTTACGTCCCTGCATTTTATAGCATCAAATCATTCAAAAGGTCTCGGAGCACGTCATGTGTAATTTTTGTGAACTGGTTCTGTTGGCAGAGGTGGCTATCGTTTTCCATAAGGCAAGGTCTCACTAACAGTCATGAAACAAATAACCAAGTAATCTGGAGAATTGTTGGTCAGGACATCTCTCTACGAATAGTTCTTTGGGATCTTTAAGTCCCTCCTGATTAACAGGCCGAAGGGGCTTTGGTTTAACAGTTCATCTGCATGAAATGGAAATATGGCTCATGATTCTTTCTTAGTCCCTTGTACTCGCCTTCATCAGGTGAGAATAGTCTTTTCACACACAGGTCACAGGACAGAGCACCCCATGCTCAGGGTCCAAACCTGTAGAGGGAAGGTGAGGTGACACACCAAAAGTCGTACCTCTTATGTGTGATTGTTTTTGAGAAACGCGCAGCTCAAACCAGGATGGTGCCAAACCTCTTTCAGGAGATGGATCGTAAATCAGAATCTAAAACGTGGTCTTCCTCTCAAATCACAATGGTACTTTTACAGCCGCAGTGATTTGAACTATAGATCTCATGTCACTGGAACAACTCAAAGCGCTTGCCAGATAGGATGAGAAGCACCGAGGAGAGTCAAGGATGTGGGCCAAAAATATAGTCAAAGAGAGCTGTTTTGAAGGCTGGGAGAGAGGAAGCGAGGCACAGAGAGATTCTATTTATCATGTTTCATGGGAGGCTGACAAGTACAATAGAATTCAGCACAATTGATGTCAAAACAAGCTTATTGTAGCGTTACGCCAATTCTTTGATATTCATTGGGGTGCTGTAAGTAATCATTTTTCCTCCATATTTTAAACTATTTATCTCATAAGAGAAGTGTTGTTGGATGAAGCAAACCTCTAGTGTAAGATCAGCCTCATGAATCACAACAGTTGTTTCTTCTCTGTCATTTTGTTCCAGTCATCATTAAAAAAGTATTCTCTGTCAGCAAAAATCTTTCTCTTCTGTACACAGGACGCTTGGTGATGAAGATGGTGTGTTTTTAAATAGAAATGAGCTGTAAGTGATATTGGTTCAAGAAGCAGACTCCAGCTGGCTTACAAAGAGAGACTGTAGGCCTTTAAATAATGGTTTGCATGTTAAAGATCCCACTACTGATATTTAAGCACAGAAATTACAGGACTTGTGTGGTAGTCTTGAAACAGCAACATTTATTTAGACATTTGGCATGTGTTTTCTTACTGGGTAATCAGTTCTCCGACACACTAGGGAGCAAACTGGAGAAAGACTTCTTTCTTACCACATTTTTGAAAAGAATCCAGCTGCAATTTTTCTGTCCTTTTGGTTCACAAAGTTAGTGGGTTTAATGCTGCTTGAGTTAAAAGTAGACCTATTGTGTAATCACAACTAACTGAGTTGTTACAAAAAGACAACCCTTTTTGTAAATGAATTTCCCATGATCTTCCCATGATCCATAGATGTGAGAGGTGAGTGTGTCCTCTCTCGCTCACACACACGCACTGCATCGTAAGTTTCTCTCTCTCTTAGGATCAAAAGCTGTGCTTCAGATCTTTTGTAAATACTGACATAGTTGTTTAGGAATTTGCAGTTTGACTCTGTAAGTCAGCCTGTGGAGAAATTACATTTGCAAAACAAAATGTGCCTGATCCATGTAGCAGTTGAACATTTCATCCAGGGTTTTCCTACAACTTCTGGAATTGGACCCAAAGAGTCCAGTCTTTGCTGCAGTTGTGCTTTACATTAGTGTTCTCAACGTCTTCCTTGTAATAACCTCACCACCGAGATCTATACCACGCTGCAGAAGCCTTTAGGTTGATGACCTGACCTAGCCTCACTTACTAATGGTCACCACTTTTAAGAATGAACTAGTACCAAAGCACTGGCCTGCACAACGCAACTAAAATGATTGATGATGTCAGGAACTCGGTAATAATTGGCTTCCCTCTGGTCTGTGCACCAACATCAATTTACATTTATATTGCACCAGGAAACTGTCTCAAACTGTTTCACGGACTGGGATCCGAGCTGGGGGAGGAGGAAGGTGACCAAAAGAGCGGTCGAAAAGAATACATATCCCTACCTGAACACAGCTAGATTCAGAAATAAACCTGCTGGTCTGTATAAACAAAACACAAAATACTGCAGATGCTGGAAATCTGAATCAAAAACAGAAGTCGCTGGGAACATTCAGTGCTGATGAAGAGTCGTGGACCCGAAACGTTGACTCACTTTCCTTTCTCCGTAGATGCTGCCTGACCTGCTGAGTGTTCCCAACGACTTCTGTTTTTGCTGCTGGACTGTATCACATGTATGTTTTTTTTTAACCTACTTGATTTATTTTTGGTTAAGCATGTAAGAGAAATATTTTGTAACTTATTTTGGGCACAACACAAAAGGGGGGCTCTTTTGAATGGGATTCCTAAATCGACCCATGGGACTTCCACTCTGGAAGTAGATTGTATTGCTGCGGAGTTTATCCCAGGTTTGTATGATATTGTCAACTTCCCATTACCAGACGAAACTTCCACTTGGGCAGCTCAGGCTCCTTATTAAGAGATACCGCAGGGTAGACCCAAATGTTTTATTTCGAGCAGCTATCACACAGGGAAAACTGAATGACACGGAGTTTGAATCCAGCATTCCGTAATGTCCGTTCATATGGCTAAATATGGCATCCGGATCAGATGGGAATTAAAGAAACATTTTTAAAAGATGCGAACAAGGGCAGGTAGCCATTCAGTTTCCTGCGCTGGCTGGAAGCTCAGAGGGTTATATATTTATTCTGGCAGAGGAACAAGCTGTGCTTCCTGGTCTGAGTGATGCTGCAAGACCTCACTGCTTTCCTGGCCACTTGAAATGGCTGAGCAGCTTGCCATACAGGAAATCAATTGCAGCTGAAAGGGATGGCTTCTACTGGAGGCATAAACACATATTTTGCTTCAAAATAAAGCATGACTTTCATCTTCTGTCTGTTTTCACAATTGCAATGCAAACCCGAGGGTCCCCTCACAAAAAAGAA